CTGTGCCTTTGCAGCAGGAAGCTTCTTGGGGCCACCTTGTTTTTCTCCAGGTTGCTCTCATCACCTGAGAGGCCCTTTGCAAGAGGGGCACCTCTGCTGTTTCCCTCTTGTGGGCCACAGCTGCTGGATGCATCAGAGTGAGGCAAGCTGCTCCCTCCATGAAACAGCTTCTCACAAGAATGCTGCTGTGCCCTTCAGGAGAGAGTCACTAGCGGAGTTCCCAGGTCCAGCTGATGTCATTGACCAACAGATCAAGAAAATGATCTCAGCAGCTGTAGTGTAAATAGAAAAGGCAGGAAATAGGTGCTAGCAAGGCCAGAGGTTACTCAGAGGAGAGGAAAATGGAAGCGTGGTTGAGTGTTTTTCCATAAATAAAGCGTTGAATATTAAATAAAGTCATTTCTAATGCTTTCTAACCTGGCAGCATAAGTTTTGTGGTGGAATTTTTAGGTCTTGTTTTTTTTTCTTGTGTTGGTTTTGTTTTTAAATACAGCTACTGATCTTGAAATACTGCTCCTCTCCCTTTGCACTTTTTAAATAAAAAAAAATAATAGAAGATCAGAGGCACAGGTGCATGACTAGACTTTGATGTCTGTGCTGAGGGAGGCTTTTGAAAAACTGCTATAGCACTCAACAGATGGCTGTATTAAAGAGAGGCATGTCTAATGCTCTGTTTATATCAGCACTATATACTGTTTGGTTAAGCTTTAGGTAAAATACTTCATGCAGTTCAAATCCCAATGTGCATACACATATACAAAGCCCCAACACAACCCTTATAGAAGAGTCAGGTATTTGGAGGAGTTTGCAGCCACTGTCAAAAAATCTCTCTTCTGTCCATTTAAGTAGAAACATTGCTGGAAGCAACTCAAGAAAAAAGACTGAACCAAAATTTCCGTTACCCATCAAGTATTGCGTTTCGATACACAGTTTATTAGAAATGCTCCTTACTGATTTTGATTCAGATTTTTTCCCGATGCTCTGAGCAGAATGAACTATTTATAAAAGGGAGTCTCTTTTACACAGAAAATATGTTTCAGTCTTAAAATATCCTAATACCAATGAGAGTGAAATGGGCATGTCCTTATTTTTAGATGTATAAAATATCCACATTTCATTTCAGTGAGTACCTATGCTGACAGTCTCATCAGTCACACAAATCAGTACATTTACCTGAAGCCGGCAGCTCAGCTGCCACAGCTGCCCTGATAAAAAAAACACCCCAAAAAATGTAGAACCCCCAAACTGACAGGAAACCTTTTGATCTCAAGTCTTTCATCTATCAAAGGAAGTATGGAATGAAAAGGACTGATTCAATTCTGATTTTGCATAAAACATTTCTAATTTAATGCCCAGAAACATCATGGTATAAATACCTCCAAAATAGTCAGATTACTAGAATATTAACTACAGGCCTTGTCTTTCAGTCTGCACAGGTGGAGACTAGGTAATGTCATTTCCTAAATAAGTAATAAAAAAGATGCATACATTGCAACCTAAAGTTTCCATGAATTCTTTACCAAATGCCCTGAAAGTTATCATATGTGAAATGCCCCGAGCCATACGTAATCAGAAACTGAATGACTGGCCAAATTCATCTGAATCTAACAGACATCCTTGAATGCAACAGAAATAGTCTGATCAGCGTATTTCTGATTCTGACCCTTCTCTTTGATAAAAACACTTGTCTCTGAATGCAACCAAGCATTTATATGTTCAGAGAGACACTAAGAGAAGACACCTAACAAGGCCTGACTGTTCAAAAGGACAACAGGGAACAAGGCAAGATGCAAACTGGGGATGGGGCAGGGGAGTTGATACAAGGGCAGCTTTGCTATAAGCAAGACACATTGCAAAACACCATATCCTCCACATGCAACAAACTAGCTAATATCATTGAGCAAACGTTTGATCACCAAAGCATTTTATTCCTGGTCCATGCTATTGCTGTGGCTTTTAAAAAAAACCAAACAGAATTTTAGTAGGTGCAAGCAAGATTAATTGTAAAGGTACTTTAAACAATTTCTATATGGCCTAAATAATCCTTATGTGGCAGTGTACTGAGATAAGTATAATGACTGCTGGAAAACAGTACAGATCTTGAAAACATCCAGGCATGAATAAAGCATATTAGTAGTGTTTCAGGGAACAAAAGGCAACCATCCATAAAACCAGACAGACTTTCACAAGAAAAAACCCATGTTGAAACCATGGCCAAGTTTCAGCATATTGAAGGCATTTATATAGTTTCACAGTCATTAATGGATTTTATTTTCAACACCCTTATGAGACAGTTCCCCATCTGTAAAATGAAATACTCCCAAGGGCACAAGCTAGACTAAATGACTTGCCAGAAAGTCAGAAAGTTGTACAAGAAGCCTACAGTTAAACAAGAAGTGAATTCTGGTGTCTGGAGGTCCAGACAACGCACTGGACCATTTCTCCTATCCCGCAGTTCAGTTTCATTTTGTCAAGTGATACACATCTCATCTTCCTCCAATATCAGAGATATTCAAGCACTTTTAAACAAACAAACAAAAACAACAAAGCCACAAAAAAAACCCAAACAAAATCAAAACCAATTTTTATGGGTGCATATCTAGGAGGTAGTTTCATTTCTTTTCCATTCAGTCAATATTCATCAGTAAAAACAATACCAAACAAGTAATTGCTTAAATATTTTTCTGCAGCATTTCCAAAGCATCCCAATTCTTGGGCAACTCTAGAGTACTACAAAATTTAATCAGACTATGGAGATGATTGTGAAAACATTTGAGCTTTTCCTCAAGGCTTGCTTTTTCTGGCTTTTAACTCGTAAGTGTTCTTCTGAAAAACTGAGTCCTAATCTGAAAAGCACATCTAAAAGCTCAACACTTCCCTCCTCTGAGGTGCAAGACTTAGTTCCTATCCTTAAAACCATGAAACTTGGACAGAATTCTTCTAGACTAAGATTTTGCCAAGGAAACTATACACTCTCTCTAACCACACTCTAATCTTACAGGGATGGGGAAGATTTGAATATGCTATGCAATTATTTGAGTTCCACCAATGCTTCACATTGGAGCATGAAGGTTTTATGTTCTTGACCACTGTACAGCCTTAATCATTCCATCAACATTTTGGGGTGCTTTATTCATTCTAGCTTACAGCATCAGCACAGAGATGCTGCACGTCCTACGGAGCAAATCAAGACCTGTTGTGAATAAGTGATAAACTCCTAACTTCAGCAGCTTATTACCATAGGTTTTCATTTGCTCATGACGCAGTCCATCAGCCACCTACGTTCCAAGAGCATCACATAAGATTAGATGCACTGTACTAATTTAAATGCCAAATTGTACCTTGAGTGAAATTTAAGGACAGTCATTGATAAGAGTCACATCAGAAACAAACGACTAAACAAATGCATTTCCCATAACTGAACTTCCTAACAGCATAAAGGTTGAGTAAGT